CGTCAACACGACCAACTCCGACTAACTAGCTTTGGTATCTTTCGCTTTTGTCTGCGGTTCTCACACGGCTGATCTTCCACCCCAGTGTTTCTTCCAGGCATTTTTTTCCGTGGGGGGGGGGGGGGGGGTAGACTTTCTTCGGGGGGGGGGGGGGCCGGACACGGTTAAAAGTATATATGGTTAAAAGTATATATTTTCTATATAAATTTCATTTCGCTCAGGGGGGGGGGGGGCACCCCCCGAAGAGATGCCTGAAAGAAACTCTGTTCCACCCCATTGAACGCAGGTTAAGCTCGTACCCCGGCCATCTGTACCCGGCACAATTATGGAGAAGCTAATAACTAAAAAAAAAAACAACTACGTCACTCAGGTTAAATTAGTTGATACTGCCCGGTAGAGAGTACATTCTGTATAAAATGAGATTCCCCATTTAGAGATATTCGAAAAGGTCGGCACTACGGTAGTTTTAAGAATGTAACCGACGCCTATGTGCTGGTCGCAGTGCGGCTTTGGGGCTGGGCCTGGTGCCCAAGCGACTGTCAGCTGTCGGTATACTTTCAATCTCACCTATTCTCATTATTCTGTTTTTCTTTATAATATTTTAATTAGTTTTGAAAATTAATAAAATAATGATTTAACTTTGTGCGTGGAACTGGAGAGCCGCATCTTCTCATCAAGGGAGCCGCATGCGCTCGCAGGCCGCAGGTTGCCGACCCCTGCCCTATACTTCCATGCAATTTGTTTTGTGTTAGGGTTTTTGTAGCTAATGTTTCTAATCGTGTTTTTGAACGCCTACATATTGGAGACATTCTTTTTTTTTCAATAGCTTTACTCTCTTGCTGCTTACCCATCCAGTGTTGACAGCAAGACCAGGTTTACATGAACATATATGTTACATATTTTTACAATGTGACCTACTTAGGTCCTGTTTTTTTTGTTTGACTTTTATTGCTCAATCATGAGTGACCTGTGGTGCAACCACCGGTACTTTTCCATAGTTCTAAGAAAGACATATACCCAGTAATTTTCCATCACCAGTGGTGGTGCAATACTTTTATACTTTCGATTGGTTGATTCGGACATCAGAGATGTCCCAACCAATAGTCTCATGTTTTGAAGGTGACCTCCCATGTTGCCTCAGGTGTCAAATGGTCTGCGCACAGATTTCTGCGAGCAGTCCATCGCTGCAGTCCATAGCAGCAAGTCAGACCAGACATCTTTGAGAGAGAAAGCCCTGAGTGTCGCTATTTTGTAGCCTATAGTTTTTAAGCAGCATTTTTCCCTTATTACTTGTGGTTTTAAGTAATATTTTGTGATTTAGTAGTGTTGTATAAGCTGTGGTGATTTTCCTAAGTGCCATATCCTGTGATAGTGTTACATAGTGTTTTTTCCTCAAATTGTAACTTGGGTTTTTGTTATTTTACTCATTCATTTTATTCTGTATAAAGCTAGAGTCTTATCTTGAATTTGTACGCATATTAAAAGTTATATATGGATTAAATGTGTTGTTGGTATCAGCAGTTCATCGAGTGTATCCCCTAGACGTTAAGTTCGTGTCCTCGTTAACTGTTGTGCTAGCTATCATTTATAGGGCTTTAAGCCATCTGTGTATAACCGTTGAAAAGAACCCGGGTACGTTCGCCAGCTATCTGGCTGATATAGTGGTGTTTCGTAATAACAAGTTCTATATTTTATCATTTATATTTTCCCATTATGTGGATAATACCGTTTAAAAGAAGACGTTATGTAGTCTAATATATAAAGCTCAATTCTGTATGTAAAAATACATATGTTTGTCGTTGACATACTTCAATGGATTTAAGTGTTAGACTATTATCGTGCGCATTTGTCTAAATTTATGAGTTAAAAAATTACTATTGAAAGTGTTGGGAAATAATTTTCATTTTCAAACTGATAGTAATAATTGTCGGCATGTTCATTAAACACAATTTAAAAAAAAATAACAAAAATTCTAATTATGTCTGAAAATTATTTATATTTAGTCCTTTAGCACTTACTTCCCTTTGATAAATTAGGAAAACACAATTACTTCCCTTTATAAAACATTGCATCAGTGGAAAAGAATTTACTTTTTATTACTTTGTTTTGGTGTTGGGAAAAAAAATAATTACATAATTAGCGGGGATTGATCAAGTGCAAATGTTGTAGGTGTTTTACGAATAAGCTTGGAGTATTATAATTGTTCATTTGGTTTGGTTTGGCACCTACGTTCGTTTAAGTGAGTGCAAAAGACTATGAATAAGTTGGGGTACTGTAGTCGATTATTAAGCTGAAACAGGCGATTGTACCCCGGGCTAGACTGTGAGCACTTTGCGTTAGTGTTTTCTTTGTGTTTAGGTTGGGTTTGCGTTAGTGGTTGCGTTTTGATTTGGTTCGTTTTTGTTCTTTCTTTTTTCGTTTTCGTTTGTGTTTTTTTCTTTGGGTTTGTGTTTGTATTTGTGTTTTTGGTTGGTTTTGCGTTTGGATTTGGTTTGTTTTCGTTTGCTTTTTCGTTTGTGTTTTTTTTCTTTGGGTTTGTGTTTGTGGTTGGTTTTGCGTTTGGATTTGGTTTGTTTTTGTTTGCTTTTTCGTTTGTTTTTTTCTTTGTGTTCGTATTGGTGTTTGTGGTTGTGGTTGGGTTTGTTGTTAGGTTTTTGTTTTCGTTTGTATTTGTAATTGTGTTAGCGTTATGTTTGCGTTTCGTTGTTTTAGTTGGTTGTGGTTTGGGTGGGCAATGCCGGGTTTATGATGATTACTGAACACACAGGTAATAGTCTTTAACAGCAAGGTTTTTCACAGAAGCCAGAGCAGGGCCTGGCCGAAACAGCTAGTATGATATAAGCTTAATTTAAAAATGGACACGTAATGTGTAATGAAGAAAATTCTTAAATTTATAAATCAATGTACTTTGTAAAATTATGGTTTTCTATTTTCTCCACAGCAGTTATATAATATCATATTTTTAAAATTGATAATAAGTAATCAAAACAATAAATACGTGTCATTTGATAAATATCGTGATGAAAGTTTTAATCCAATAACATTTTTGTATTCTTTTTAAAAATTGTGATGTATTTTTATCAATCATCGGGACCAAATTAAAAGGTTCCCTCCCTTTGTTGATAGGAAAATTTAAAAAAGGGAAGAAATGCATATAAATAATTAACGTCGATGTACTAAAGTTATTCAACACTTGTATGAAATTGTTATTATTATTGGTGTTGAAAAGTGCTTATTCTTATACATGACTATATATATATATATATATATATATATATATATATATATATATATATATATATATATATATATATATATATATATATATATATATATATATATATATATATATATATATATATATTCTGCTACAGCACTTGCCATAATAAAAATTTATTATACTCCACATACAGCCATACAATCTTCTATACACATGCCCATTAATAAAGAACCGTGTACCACATCATATAAGCCTTAGACTAGATCACATTTTATACATGTTTCTACCCATAATTCTACCACACAAAATATGCACTCATGTGAAACGATGTAGTACATGATTTATTACACTGCATTACGTCATATACAGCTCTGTACAAATCCAAATAGGTCTGTCACGAGATGGAGGTATCCTATTCAATATTTTAACCCTCCTTCTATTACAGAACTGTTAATTAGCTAGCCCTCATCTCTACATTATGAACAGCATGACTGCCTCTAGTTAAATACCCTTTGTCCACTTAATATTGGTCACATAAAATAACATCCCTTTAATTTCCCCTCTTGTGAATAAGACTACATTAATTAAGTCTTTACCACTATCAATTTTAATTTACAAAAATTAAAAATTAAAATGAGGATAACCAATTATTTATAAAATGTCATTTTATTAAAAACAATATAGGGAAAACTGTTACAAGTAGTTTCCCTTTGTTTTCGTATTAGAATACATGGGTAGTAACTAAAACAAGATGGTATACAGTATCCAAGTCAGATAATTATTATTTTTAATCTGGGGAGACGGGGGTGGGGGGGGGGGTGAGGGGTGAGGCTTGAAACACCCGATAGGGTGTGGCGGAGATGGCACTGGTTAAAGTAAATATTCTCAATATACGTATTGTATATATGTATATGTATATGTATATGTATGTATATATATATATATATATATATATATATATATATATATATATATATATATATATATATATATATATATTGCCACCAGAGGGGGTGGGGGGTGTGTTGGACATGCTTTGCGTGTAGGTCACTATCCCAGAACTACTGAAACACAACCCCAGCCCCCTGCCAGGTAAGAGAGCTGAACTGATACACTAATTGGAATAGTGCTGAATTTATGCCAAATAGATGACGAAGCCTTATTGAAATGTACACTCACACATGAAGTCAATACAAAACTCTTGTGTCTTGTATACCAAATATGGGAGTTAGTTTGGTCAGGGTGTCTGGGTCTCCTGGGAGGGAGGGTAGGGGGTGTTGGATGAAGTTTGGACGGTGTGTTGGGAAGACTGGGTGAAAGATGAGTGGGATGTTGAATTTGAAGGGAGAGAGCGGGAAAGTGCTAGGTGAGTGTCGTAGCAAAGGGGGTGGAATTGGAATAGGTTGTGAAAGATTGCGAAGTAAACTGTACTTAGCATAGTTTATTATTTAGTTCGGAGTCTTAACGACATAATCGAGTGAGAAACAATTTAACAGACACAATCGATGAGCGGCTCAACAACAGTGTCGTTGAGAATAGTATTGGATCGGCTGACTATATATATATATTGTGTGGTTAGAACATCGTGATGTTGTAGGTAAACGGCCATGGCGTTGTGGAGAGACTGTCTAGCTTTTATTGCCAAAAGATTTACACTGGAGGTAGCGAATTGACTCTGTTGGATAGTGCAACTCTTTTCTCTGCAGTCTTCATGCTTTATCTTTAAGTGTATTTTACACGTTGGTTACTGCTTATCCACATTGTAATTTTTACAATTTGTAATACATTAATTCATTCTGTTAATTGTTAGTCAAGATTCAAACAGACTTCTCTGCACATTTTGCAAATATTTTGTAAATTGTACTTCGTCTAACTTAAGCCATTTACACTTGGAATGTTGTAAATCTATTCGGTCAGACCACCTACCGGTTTCTAACATGAACTGAGAGTTAGACGGCAAATCTCTATCACAAAACGTATGCACTCGCGATAAAACAGTTTGAAATTCTGCAACCTCGCCTTCAATATCTCGCTCTTTGGAAATCTTAAATTTAAAAATTTGTAAAAAATATTTGTAAACTTGGATATCCGCGGTAGAAAAGAGTTCGTGTTGTTTCCTTTGTTTATCTGTCGCTGAATTTAAGAGCAGAGAACTGTCTTTGTTTTCTTGTTTCTTATAAAACAAAATATCCCCCGTCTGCCAGTTTAGAGCGCGTTTTAGCAGGATTAATGATTCGTAGAAGTAATCCGTTATTAGCACTAATTGGAAGCGTTTCTCTGTGAGAGAGATGAACTCTTTGATGTATGTCGAGTCGTTAAATTTGTGTTTGATGTCAAAGCCGAGGTCAAGAGATTGTCTGTTGTTCGTGTAAGATGAGTATCCTTTCGCTTCGTAATGTTCAGGGTTTTCCAAAAAGGCGTCTAGTTTATTCTTGTCATTGGTGTAGGATGAATACCCTTTCGCTTCGTAATGTTCAGGGTTTTCTAAAAAGGCGTCTAGTTTGTTCTTGTCGTTAGTGTAGGATGATTGCCCTTTTGATTCAAAATGTTGAGGGTTTTCCAGGAAGGCGTTTAGTTTATTCTTGTCATTGGTGTAGGATGAATAACCTTTCGTCTCGTATTGTTCAGGGTTTTCCAAGAGGGCGTCAAGTTTATTCTTGGATTTGATCTCCGTCAGATAGGTCAAGTTAAATTTAGAAAAATAACTGAAGGACGAGATGAAATGCTTGAATGGGTCTCTGATGGTTGTGAAAGTGAACGTGTCGTTGTGGAGGTACCTGAGAATCTCCTCCGTGTAGATGTGGTGGTTGAACACCATGTCGTATTTGGATACCTTGTGGTGCAGCATCAACTGAGATGGATGAAAAGGCGGTCGTTGGTTGATATGGACGCCAACGGGTAGTAACGGTACTAGTTCATGTGCCCGGCAGTATTCCGCTAAGATGGAATATATCGTCGTGCTGGCTGTTTTGTGGGTTTTTAGATAGTAAATGTGTTGTTTTGGGGGTTGTACATTTCGTACTTGCAATGCTGGCTTGCCCTGGGTTAATAAATCTCCTTCAACAAACATTTCAGACTCAGTAAATCGTTTGATGAACACAATACTTGAAGGCGATGACAGCATGAGTAAAAAGATGAGGACAGCTAGTACTGTCAAAATCCTGTTATAAAATATATATATATATATTCATGGTTAGATTCATTAATAAATCTTAAATTAAAATATGTGTTGTAAAATAAATATAATACATGAATGAATATATTAGAAACTTGCAAATGTATACTTATTTTGGATTTTAATTTCTCATTTTCAACTCAAACTTATCTCAGCAGAACATCAAAGAAACACACATCTAACTACGACCTTGCAAATGTATGCAGATTCCTTAAATGCCTTTTACAACCTTTTGAAACCAGCTTGTCGTTTCTTTCACTGCCTGCTTAGCTTACGTAAAAACATTCTTCATTTCATTTAACAAATGTTGTGTTTAAAATTATAAACCCACTTAAACCCATAAGCTAGCCTACACCTGCACGACAACCTCTCATTAATTAACAACGTCCTAATTAGGCGAGTTACCTGCCTAATTGTTTTCTGGGTCATCACCCCACCCCCTTCCCTTCACGGAATTTAAAATATTGAAACAACAAAATAAAAACGTGTCACAAAATGAGAACATACGCACTTAATACATTCAATGCAATGTGCGGATAAACAAAAAGTAAATATTGTACAAGAACTCGTTGGGAAACGTTATAATCCTATATTTTAAATTCGTTACTTTTGCTAAACAGCTTGTCTAGAAAACGCCTTATAACTAACTTACTGTTGTCCCATATTAATCATATACTACCCTCATTCAACCCTCATGCACTCCTCATATTACTACATACTACTCCCAGACAAACTCCAATATTAAAATAAGACTACCCTCATACTTTTCACATATTACTATTTTAATACAACCAAACTACCAATTAACCTTATAATACAATTATACTGCCCTCAGACTAAAGTTACACTACTCCTAATCAACCCTCAGACTACCCGCATGCTAATCCTATACTACTCTTATACTACTCCCATACTACAATCATAATACTCCCATACTACTCTCATACTACTCCCATACTACAATCATAATACTCCCATACTACTCTCATACTACTCCCATACTACAATCATAATACTCCCATACTACTCTCATACTACTCCCATACAACTCATATTACTCCCATTCTACTCCAACACTACTCCCATACTACTCCCACACTACTCCCATACTACTCCCACACTACTCCCACACTACTCCTACACTACTCCCACACAACTCCCCATACTACTCTCATACTACTCCCATACTACAATCATAATACTCCCATACTACTCTCATACTACTCCCATACAACTCATATTACTCCCATTCTACTCCAACACTACTCCCACACTACTCCCACACTACTCCCATACTACTCCCACACTACTCCCACACTACTCCCACACTACTCCTACACTACTCCCTCACTACTCCCTCACTACTCCCTCACTACTCCCATTCTTCTACCATACTTCTACCATACTACTCATATTACTCCCACAATACTCCCACACTACTCCCATACTACTATCATACTACTTTTATACTACTGCCACACAACTCCCATACCAATATCATAATACCGCTAAGACACAGCTACGACGAACGTCTCTTCACCTGCCAATCAATAAGCAACACATTTATCTTTGTATAGCTAGTTTTGATTGGCAGCTAACGGAACAGGATTTTCCCCAAACACGTCATTTAAGCAGAAAAAAAAGATTATACAACAACAAGATTACCAGTCTACACAGTGCATTATTGCTAAACAAAAGCATGTTAGAGTCCTTTTTTAGTATTTACTAAGACGTGTTTTCGCGATTGCCTTTTATATTAGCTGCAAGTATTTTTGAACACATTAAAATAGTATTTTCATTTACCATTTTAGTACGGAGTATTGTCTGAATAACGTTGACATCCTTCACATGTTTTTTTATTTGTCAAAGACAAACTTTGCAGAAAAAATGCAGTACTGGTTCACTTTCTCAAAGAAATCCTCGATGAAATTAATACAACATCTATCACTACACAATCGTAGTAATCAAAACACAAAAAAAAATGATTTCACAGTTCTAACTTTAACTAGTTACATTTAAATTCACGCTATCCTAAGCTTAACTAGTATATATTCAATAAAGCACAATCCTAACTTATTAGTTATATTACAAAAACTACACAATACTAAGCTCATCAGATAAAAACCATATCCTACACATTCTTGCCGGAGCTACTAAAATACACTGTCATTTAAAATCATCAGCTGTGTTGTATAATCTCTAAACTACACCACCATATGTTGTGAAATCTCTAGTCAAGCACAATCCCTAAACACTCCTTTAACAATACCTGACCTCACACGACCCTAATGACGTATAAAAACACAAGAAGAATTTGCTAAACAACAGCCACTTCATTAAGGGCGAGTCATTAATTTTAAAGACATGCTGAGTGTCAGTTTAGGGGAGGGGTTGGAGTTAGTAAAATGGTGACAGGTAAGTTTTAGTAAGTGAAAACAGGTTGTACAGGTAAGCACAGGTACTGGTATTCATAAAACCTGTCAGACACATTTATGATTATCTCAACATGTAGGTTTAGGTAAAAAAAATGATTTAAAAAATGTAAAAATAAAATAAAAATCACTAATACATATAAATTAACAAACAAACAAACAAACAAGCTAGCAAACAAGCAAACAAACAAACAAACAAACAAACAATCATAAATCAGACTCTAAGCTCTTACCTGTAGCGTGACATGATTTAGTGGCGTGTCACCTGAAGTTAGTTTGTCAACAAACTTTTTTTTTATATACGCCTCGCAAGTTTTATCCTACAACCTCACAACGTTCGTTTTACTTCCTCCAGCCCTCCCCCTCCCTCTCCTCTTCCGCTCTTTCTAACTCTCGTTGACCGTTTCTTCCACCTATTAGTTCTCACACATTATTTCACGCCTTTTTTCTTCTTCTCTTCTTCTCTCTTTTCATTAATTTCCACCTATACCCCTTCCCTCTTTTCTTTATCTCAGTTACATGGCCCTTCCACTTTTATTTATACTGTCACTTAACTATAACTTGCTCCTCCTCGTTTATAAGTAACGTAACTCATTTTCTACTTATACTTGCTCACCCTCTCTCTCTCTCTCTCTCTGATAACCCTCCCTATTTCTAATTTGCTACTCCTCTTTCTCTGTGAAATGACACAATGAATACATAAGAGACGTCATTGTCCGCTGAATGCATGTCTTGTTTTAAATTACTTGTCTAGTCCATAAAACTAGAAGAAGGACGGCCGTGCTGACGAAAGGGCGACTGTGGTACGATCGGACAGAACGACCGTACTCCATCCGTCCGTCTGTCCGTACGACCGACCGGCCGACCGACCGACCGACCGACCGACCGACCGACCGACCGACCGACCGACCGACCGACCGACCGACCGACCGACAACATACATTAAACAAAGGACAATAGACAGTCAACAAAAGGATAATAGGCATAAACAAAAAGCCCATGGCAACGCCACAATAGTCGCACGTAAATCGACAACAGCTTTCATCTTACATAAAAATATTTTAACAACCCACAATTCTAAATCCACGTTATAGTCTAACAAATCTACATTCCATTGAGACAGACCTTATTTCAACATTTTCTTTCTTTAGTCTTTTCTTTCCTTTCTCTTGAACAAATCGTGTCCACAAAGACATTAACACTTCTTTTATTTAAATCATCGTCTTATTATGCTAAACACATGCATAGTTTTCCATTGTCTACTTGTATTATTTTAAATCGATGAAATTTTTGATTTATTATGAGCCTCTACAACTTTGAAGTTTTTCCAGTGCAGAAATTATTGCGCGTATCTTTATACAAATCTTTTCCAAAGAAACCCATGTTTAACAAAGTACCATCATTGAAGCGTAACACGGAAAACAATAGTAAGGCTGTTGCACCCTACACCTGACACACACACATACACACACACCACACAATCATACACACACACACATCTCACACTCACACACATGCATGCACACAAATATAAGCACACATACACACACATACAAACCTTTTGATAAAAACGTTTCTTTGGGAATTTAATCATAGAAATGTGAAATTTGCAAGAAAACGTTTTCCTCTTTTATGTTAACATATTCTATCGACGTCCTTTTGTTTTTAAAGTGAAAGCCGCCATTGTTGGCCTAAAGTCAGAGGCATAGCAAGGGGGGGGGGGGGGTGCGGACCGCACCGAGTGACACCATTTAGGGTGGGGGGTGATATCAAGGCAAAAAATAGCAAAATATATATAGAAAAACTTGAGGGGGGGGTGCAAATCGACAGTTTGAGGGGTGGGGGTGCAAAGCGAAAGTTTGAGGGGGGGGGGGGTGCAAATCGAAAATTTAAAAGTTTGTCCCCGGGAAGGGTCGCTACGCCTCTGGGGGGTTGACACCATTAAATGCCGCACCGGGGGTGACACCCGACCTCGCTACGCCACTGCCTAAAGTGATGGGAAAAAATAGCTTTTTTTTTTGACGGCGTCTTGTGAAAGTAGATGTTTTATGATCGAGTCTTGTGTAAGTACTTGTTTTTTTAATGGCGTCTTGTGATGGTAGCTGTTGTTTGATGGCGTCTTGAGATGGTACTAGAAGCTGTTGTTTAATAGCGTCTTGTAAAAAAAAATTGATGAGATGGCGAATTGTGATGGTGAGGTTACTGTTGTTTATGCAAATCCTATGCGTCAGCATCCTGCCACCACAAGAGTTTTCCAACATCTAGAACAATAGCCTGGAACACTACCACTCTCTACCTGGCCTACTTCACCCGGTTTTGGAAATCAACCAATTCTTTATGCACGCTAAGCGTGGGTAGATAGTGTTATATCCATTCACTAGCTTATGCTAATTATACTAATTAGTCACACATGAAGTATCTTGAAGCGTCAGTCTAGATTTTTGGTCACACCAGATATGAAGCTGCATTGTAAAACAAAACCGACGTCCACAGTTGTCATGTATAATTCTGACAGGACTATTTTAGAAACATAATTTGTTTCGTACACTCAGTGGCTCGTGCAGCTCCTCCCCCCCCCCCCACCCCATTCCTCGTTTCATGTTTAATTCTGATACTATGAGTCGATTTCTTGAATGGATCTTTAGTTGTATGTCAGTCGACGTAAAATATTTTCAGGAAAGGATGTTAAAATAGGTTTACTTGAAAAAGGGTTGAATTTAGTTTTTAAAAAAAACTCCATTTTCAATTAAGTTTAAATTGATAGTTTGCAAAAAATCTCTAGTATTCCAATACATTTTTTTTGGAAATTCTGTATGATAAAACAAGGCCAACTAAGGAAAATATTTAATTTCTATAGGTCTTCAGTGTGGAATTGTTTTATGAAATAAAATCTGCAACATTTCTTCATTGAGGGACGTGTATGAAGTATTAAAATGTCGGCACGTGAATTCGCTTGGAAGTTTGTGTGTTTGTATGTTTGCAGCATCGTGTTGTGGAACGCGAGTGGCCGTGAAGTTAGCACAGAAACGTTCGTGAGGGTTCGAGGCTGTTCCACAAACACCACCACCCAGGTCATAGCCCAGTGCACACAGGTCCAGAAGTCCACAAGTTTTCTGCAGTGCATGAGCAAGTGCAGCATGAGCGCTTCGTGTCCAGGTGTGGTCAGAGACGAGACTAGCACCTGTTACTTCCGCAAAAACTGCAGTCTGTTGTCCATCGGCGCTGTTCTGTGCGCGAGGGAAGACATCCGCGTCTACAATAAAAGGATTCCTTGTGGGCTGACTAAAATCTTTGACGATTCTGTTGGAGGATGTGTGTGTGGGTTCGGCTGGACAGGGGTCAACTGCGACGTGGGTCCCAAAAACTGCAGCTTTTTATTAGACCCACAATACGCACCGGGAAATTACTGGATCAGCATCGACTCTTCTGGAAGTGTCAGGCCAACGTTGTGTGAGAAAGTCAACAGCACGTCGCTCAAGATTTACGTCTTTAAAAACAACGGGCACGTGAGCCATAACAAAACCTGGCAGGAGTTTGTCACCGGATACCAACTGGACGACAACAACTTCTGGCTGGGACTTCAAGGCATCTACACCACAGCTCTCTCCGGGTTCAAGAAATTAAAAATGGAAGCTTTCTTCCAAAACAACGTCGTCACGGCCTACTGGTCAATCGCTGGCGTCGTCATTAAATCCGGAGCGGAATCCTACCAGATGAGCTACACCGGCATTAGCAACCGAGGATCAGCAACTTCCGGCTACAATGCTGTCGTCAACAACTGCTTCCCCCAAAGTCCCGCCAACTTCTCCACCTGGGATGTCGACAATGATATCAGCGCCAACACCAACGTCGCCTCAGCCGCAGGGGCGGGGTTTTGGTTCAGGGATACCGCGGCCTGCAACCCCCTGGGTCAACTTTCGTCTCAGCTGACCCCAGGTGCGACGGAGGGGTTGATCGGGTTGAAGGATCTCAATCTGGTGAACGGTCCCGAAGTCAGCAAATTTATGTACGTTGCTATGTATTTCTTTTAGAGCATAGATCATCGCTTTGTTCTACACAACTGGTTTTCTAAATTATTCTTCGTGTGCGTCTCTATGAAATTAAAACACAAATACAGACCATTTCAACAACAAAAAAATAAATAAAAATAACAAAAGTTAATCGAACAAAAGAAAAATAGCTTAATTTTTTTCTTTCTTTAATTGCTAAACTATGTAATAGTTGTTATGACCGACCAATGTTTTCATTAATGAAAGCACGTTAGTTTTGACATTGATATCATCTTGTGTTCGTGAATTCTCTTTTACAAATTTATGTAGGCCAAATTAAAAAAAACAACAAAAAACACCGAAAAGTTTATTTCCAAAATTCGTTAAATTCATAATTTCGTGTCAAAATAATAACTTTTGTTTATAAAAATTGTTTTATTGTACTCTAGTAAAAAAAAC